GGGGGGGGGGGGGGGGGGGGGGGGGGAGAGAGAAAAGCCCGTGCAGAGTAGGTTCTTGAGAACGCAACTTCCGGAATACTTGAGATCGTGTGCCGCGGTAGAGCAAAAAAACATCAATTCAATGCGCGGACTGGACGCCTATGTGGACAATCGTACAACACTTGCGCATATGTATGATACAGATGAACGTGGATGCTGCATCACACAATCATAAAAAGGCAGAGGTAGGTGCGGTTGTGCCATGCTGCCAGTGTCTCTGAGGCAAGCATGGCAAGCATACTGTGGATACCACGCCGAGGAAGCGACGACGACCCACGTGCTTGGTGTACACGACCGTCGGCATGATACACGGAGCCCCTGGGGGTTGGTGTGGTATAATCTGCTGATTTGGGAGTTAACGGAGTCCCCTGTACATCGGGCTCTCGCGGCTCACCTCAACACGTCTGATGCCCCAACTAATGGAAGCACGTCTTATATATCTCCCCAAGGATCGGCTGCAAGGGTGCTAACGCCTGGTCACCTTGAAGAGCACACCCCCAACCCACACTCGCCTGTCGAAACCAAAGCGGCTCAAGATCGCCTCCGTCAGGTCGAGCACGGAGATGATCTCGTCCTCCAGCTGCTCCGGTAGGCAGAAGATGTGGGCGTCGTCCTGGGTGAAGCCTCGCACTCGCATCAGACCGTGGAGAGTGCCGCTTCGCTCGTAACGGTACACCGTGCCCATCTCGGCCCAACGAATCGGAAGATCTCTGTCATGGGAGGGGGGTCGCGGATGGGAAATATTTGTTTGTTAGGGAGGGTCATAATTGCCCCTCGGATCGACAAGATAGATCTCTGCGTGGTGAATGTCATGATTGTCCATCGCGGATGGGAAGACTCTATCGGGGAGAGTCACACCGGGTATCGGGTGCCATAAGGACGCGAGACAACGCACGGCTCTGTGATATCGCACATATTGGTGATATCGCACCCCCGTGCGATGCAAAACCAAGAACCATATAATATATTTCGATTATCGCACGGGGTTCGGTGGTCGATATCACCGATACCGAGACGCGATTGGCTCCGGGGCACTCGCTGCGCAGGAGGTACTTCGCGGTATCGTAAACGGTGTTGTGCTGTTTGTATGGAGGCATCGCGTAACCACATATTGAAACACGAAAAACATGGCAAAAAAAACAGGAGTCGGAGGAGACTATCATTCATCATTTCACGCTTTTGCGTGGAAAGCACCCACGGTTGCTACTATACCCAGTACCGCACGTAACGGTGAAGTCGCACCCCCCGTGCGATGCAAAACCAAGCACCGCATAATATATTTCGATTATCGCACGGGCACCGGTGATATCGCACGTACCGGTGATAACGCACGGGGGTGCGATAAATGGGGTGCAATAAATGTCAAGAACGAAATCATTGAAAAATCGATCGCACCCCCGTGCGTTCTCTGGCATCCTTACGATAGTCTAAAGCACGCACTGCACGTACATTACCGCATTACAGACACCAACACCAACACCAACAACGACAACTTGCGAGACTTAGAAAGCAAGGTGGCAAGTACGCTACGGTTAAGGATACACGCCTGTAAGAGCGAAGGTCGTCCTTGTACACGAGGCAGTGGAAGGGGCAGTTCATGGGCTTGATCTGGTACTGGTCTCCCTCCACATCCATCTGGTCGAACATCCCGTCCTTGTAGAAGTCGAAGTGCCCGGAAGTCTTCCACAGGTCGAGGTTGGCTACGTGCGGAGTGTAGAGCAGCTCGTAACTAGGAAAAACACAGAGAAAGAGACAGAGAGCGAGACAGAGACAGAGACAGAGACAGAGACAGAGACAGAGAGACAGAGGTAGACCAAAGGATCGTTCCGTGCGGGTGAGGCCCAGACGGTAAGGGTTCGGTGGTGGGGCAAGTCGATCATGTCGATCATGTCGATGTCATGCCCATATCGAACGGATGCCAAGGTGAAGCCGTCACTGCCGACTGACGCTGACACTTACGGCGACGCCTCTTTTCGCAAGCAAACAAACACAGCAGCCACAGCGAAGCGACCACAGCAACAATCACAACGACCGTCACGACAATAGCACAGGAAACAGGCAGATGGCCTTCAAACTTGGAGAGAGGGGATCAATCGGTGGTACATGCCACCCCCACGGCCCAGATCAAACACATAAACTTCTACAGTCTGCCGCTGCCCTCCCCGCCCCCGCGAGAAAGGAAGGGGTCATTCATTCATTCATTCATTCATTGATCGATCAAGTACCAATTTCTACGCCCTCAAAGCAACGTTGGAACAGAATCTTAATTCTCTATATATACGCGTTGTTCCTCGCTTACCCGTTTTCGAGGTGCTGCGCCTTCCAGAAGTTCTCGATCAGCATTCGGATAGTCGACCCCTTGGGATGCCAGAACACCTGAAACACACGGAAGTGACAGCAGTAGTTTAGTAGTGGTACACCTTCGGTTCGCACGCATAAAATCGACAGGCGGGCGCGTTGTTGCGCAAGAAGCAGACCTGCTTGTGTCTACGCCAATCTCATGCGCTCCTCACCAATCTGCGAGATCTACGAGAGAAGAAATCCCACACTCATGCCGCCAGGTGTAGAGCCGACCACAAATCCAAGGAAGAATATATGAGATCGAGGCTTGAGGATCATCCTACCAGGCCACCGCCGGCATCTTCCTGCAGGGAAAAGAGGTCGAGTTTCTTGCCCAGAACGCGGTGATCTCGCCGCTTGGCCTCCACCATACGCCGCTTGTGTTCCTGTTTCACCGACGTCATCGACCCCCCGACAATATGTGTCATCGATCCGAGCCCCGGAGGGCAGGGTAGGGTACGCAGCAGGCAGCGCAAGGGAGGGAGGGAGGGGGGCGGGTGTTCCTCTTGTCGAGTGGACTTTGGGGATGTGATCGGACGTGCGAGATAGAGGAGTAGCTGACCGCACCAGCTTGCTCGTGTTGCACTTCAGCGTGAGTGCGGAGGGTACCACGGTATCCCAGTTCCGACGCCAATGCCCCCAAGAAAAATCAAGGCAAACGCGGCGTTGACGCGTTTTCTTTTGCCCGGCACGCCCCCAACACAGACACTGTCCTTCGGGCGGGCGGGCGGGCCATTGAACCAAGGCGGAACAGAGGAGCTTGTGAAGAGTGAGGAAACACCACCACACCATACATAACCAACAGACGAGGCTTCATGTCTCGCCAACACAACGATAGCGTCAACCAACAAACCACACCAGAGTGTGACTGTCACTGTCCAACAACGATCACCATCAGAGGTAACTCACTAATCAGGGCGGTGCATGGGGACCCGACATGCCAAGAGTCCTATGTACCCTCGAGATGCATTTTTCGACTTTACAACAGGCTTGAGTGTGTAGAGCGTCAAACACAGTTCTGGTGGCCACACTATTTAGTGGAGCCAACCTTATCATCGATGGAAAGAAGCCATCGATCATCAGCACACCCACACGCGAAACGACTACCCAATTCGAAACGAAACAACGTAACGAAACAACGAAACCCCTCTTGGGACCTGCTATTGCACTTAGCTAGCTAGATACCTTGAGCTGGGCGGGGTTTTCCCATGCGGTGCCGTAGATACGCTGGAGCGCCGGCCGGTTCTCATCTCCGCGCCAGTAGGCACCGGCCAACGTCTGCAGCTCGATGCCCTTCTGGGGAAGGTCACCTGGCACACAACGTGTTGTCGTCATTGTCATTGCCGTCGAGTTTGTGTTTGTTGTCTCGTGATGCGGCGTGTCGGGCTAGGTCGGATAGGCAGCTATCCTAAACATGCCGCAAAGGTACGGGCGAATGGACAGGTGGGCAACCGATTGTTACAGCTCGACTTCTGCAACAAAATAAGGAGGGCGATTTTTGAAAGGTCTCCTCGAGAGCTTTAGAGCTCTTCCCGTATCGGTTGTGGATCAATTGAGCCTTAAAAAACAAAGAACGGATCGCACACCTGTCCGTTCGCGAGCACCTTTACGGCGCTTGCGCTGGGTAGACTACAAGGGTCGCATAGGCATCACATGCTCACAAATGCTTGCTGGAGGTGGGTGGGCCCATGAAAGGGAGAGATGAGCGACCAATGGCTCAAGAGCTGCCCAGGGCATGGCACATCGGACGTCTTCAATAGGATGGCTAAGCCAGTTCCGGTCATGACGCTAAATACCATACTATGCTCTTCATGGTTCCGGGAATTCAAGACCTACATACCCATGCTCTGGTAGAAAAGTGGGTACGCCCGCAACATGACATGACGCCGCCGTCAACGCCAAGGATAAGGGCAAGGCTCACCAGTTGTGTCAACGTGGGGACCGGCGCACAGATCCCACCACTGGTCCCCGACGTGGTAAAGCGTGATGGGTTCCGTCTTGATCGAATCCAGAATCTCAAGCTTGAAGGGTTCCCCCAAGGCCTCAATGCGCCTTCTTGCCTCTTCCCTATAACATGGAGCAACAGCAAGAGCGAGTTGTACAACGCCACGGCACAGTAGTCAAGAACATCCATGGACCGGACACATCACGTCAACTAACGGTTGACACTCGCGGGGGGTATTTAGGAGGTAGGCCAGCTCTCTCAACACGATGCTTTGCAGCAACGAGTACGTATTGTTTGCGGTGGTTCGGATATGTGTCCGATCTACATGCGCTGCATGCGCCTGATGGGGGTTACGTGGATGGGTACGAAGCATATGGGGGGTAGGAGAAGACCCCTGGTGCGAGAGAGAGAAAGAGCCGACTAACTCACTTGCCTGAGGGGCTTGCGTGTCGGTAACTAATACATGGTCCTCTTCTTCATCTGCTGTTCCTGGTATAACATAGTACCCAGTCTCGACGCCAGCCGCTGAGGGCGGCAGAGCGCATCGAACACGATCGATCGTCGAGAGCCTAGCTAGGCCAGGTGTTTGTTCGGCGATGACGGGAAGAGAGAAGGATTTACAAGAGCAAGTGCGAGGAGTTACAGAAGAGGGTCGATGAAGCAGGAGCTAGGAGTTCAGCGGAGGCAGCCGCGAGAGGAAAAGTGGGTGATGCCGGGTACACGATAGGCAACATGAGGATGGACGGCGCCGGTCGTGCGCCCTACAACAGGGATGGAGCCGCCGGGGGGGTACTCATAGTCGTGCATGCCGTAGTCGTTAGACCATTGACCTCGCATCCCTACAAAGCCGGGGCGGAGCACGCCGGGTTCTCACCGGACCAGGCTCTCGGGAAGGGGGGCTACTTTTGGAGCCGGGGGAGCGGCTACCTTTTTTGAGGATGACCGAGTGCAACGGAAGGGACCGGAAGCCACTGGTGTACGACGGTAGCTTCCCGCTGTTCAAGACGCTGTTCGAGGCCTTCCTCACCGCGAAGATCATGCGCACACACTCGCGAAGCCGTCGAGTCCTGACCAACGCATCTGGCTCATCCACACGTCAAGGAGCCAAATCATCCGCTTTCACGGTGAGCGGCGCGTGCGCGAACATGAGTGTGCTTCTGAGTACCTGATGCGCGCCACGAAGGGGGCGAACTTTCCGGCTAGAATTCTGGAACTTGGGACTGCGTCTGGGGCGTGGGAGGCTGCCCAACAGTTCTGCCTCCCGATGACTGACTCCGACAAGGAGGCCCTCAAGCTGTCTCTCACCAATATGAAGATGCAGCTCAGAGAGGAACTGAGGGATTACTTTCTGGGGTTTGACAAGTGCTGTCTACACTCCGCGCCGTCAACGGCGATGAGATCACAGACAGAGAGGTCCTTGCGATGCTTCGTAGAAACCTCTCGGTCGATTACGACCAGCTCAAGCCGCTGCTCATGTCTGATCGCTCGCTCACACGCACGGACTTGGAAACTGCGTAGCCACCACGTTGAGCAAGACCTCGGACATGGTGTGCGGCGGACGGCAGCGTCGGCCGGCGACCCGCACGCCTTAGTTTCGGCGGAAATTCACCGCCCAACGGCAGCGGCGGCGGCGGCGGTGGCGGCGGTCCGCAGCGGAAGGCCGTATTTTTTTCCCAAGGTAGACAGCAAGGTAGAAATGGGCAGCACCGGCCAGCGTGGGGAGGAGGATCCCAGGGAGAGTACCAGGGGGGCTATCGCCAGCAGTTGCAGCAGTAGCAGCCGTCGTTCCAGCAGCAGGCGGCGCAGCAGCAGTATCAACGGCGACACCCTCAACATTTTTCCTCCGCCTCCCCCAATTATTTCCTGCAGCAGCGGCGGCAGTAGACCACTCCTCCGATGGCGATGGGTTTTGTTCCGGGCGGCGCCACGGACCCCGGGCGGAACGCAGCGTGGCCGCAGCCGGAGTCGCCCATCCCCCCGGGATCGCCCATGCGCGCCGTGCCCATGTGTGGTCGCTGCGGTCATGATAAGCGTTCAAGTCTCTGCCAAACTGATCACACTTACCCTTGGTCCCGATCGAGAAAATGTCGCGACATGAACAACACCTACCATTGTCACAACACCATTCTCGGCCATGCGCATGACGCCCTTATTCGCGAGACGGCGCGACAGATGGGCATCAAGCTGACGGGGAAGAGCGTTTTTTATCGCTGCTGCTACCGCTGCTGTCGTCCCCGGTCGCCGCGTTGGCGCCGGGCTGTCAGACGGAAGCAGCGGCGACCGGGGACGACGCTGCTGCTCTCGCTGCTGCCGGCGGCGCCATCGCCGTGATTTTGTGATGAACATCAACGTTTCGTTGTAAGTCGCTTGCGATTTTTTGTTGCTATTTGATGTAAGGCTTTTGCGTTTGTATTTTCTGCGTTGTTTCCGTCCTTTTGCAGCAGAAGTTGTTTTGTCTTCGGGCTGTGTATGCATCTGCAATCATGGCGGGGGGATATCACGTGTGACCATGATTATAGAAGTATGAACAGCAAGTGGTATCTTGTTGTTTCTCCTATGTTTTTGGACATGTCCCAGCAGGGGGGCTGTTGGGGTCTAAAGCCGGGGTAAATAGTTCCTTGGGATGTCACAGCAGGGAGGCTGTTTGCATGAATGTTTTTGCTTTGTTTTCTATCGTTTCAACAGCGACGGTGCCGATTTGCGGGTGCGCGCTGTTGAAGGATTGGTCCTTGGACACTATATTGGATGAAAGGTTTGACGTGTTTTGACGATTAAAGGATGGAGCCATTGTGCTTTCCGAATTCTCCTTTTGATTGGGCAAGAAGTTGAGTTTCATCTTTTTTGAGGATTTGGCATTCAACTCTTTTGAAGCCGTTTTCCAGAAAATGTTTTCGTTCCAACGCTTTTCTGATGTAGCACAAATAATTGGGTACTTCTCCGAGGATTATTCTTCTGTGTCGACGGTTTGAGATTATGTCCACTGGCGAATGTATTGGATTCCTGAATTAATTGATGGCGCTTTGTGTCAAATGCCTGGTCAGTTCTTGTAGAGGGTGTTTCTCAAGTGGTAATTTTGCGCCGCCGCCGCCACCGCCGGTGCTGACCATCGAAGCAGCGGGGCAAAGGTACGCACAGACGACCGAGTTCCGATACCTGGGCGGCCTCGTCAACGAGCAGGGCGACCTTACCCGAGAGATCAACCACAGGAGCAAAGCAGCGTGGGCGTGCATTAAGCGATACGCCACGGAGCTCTTCGACCGACCGGGAGCACCGTTTCGCCTCAAAGCCCGCCTGCTCCAGGCGGAGGCAGTG